AAAAAGTATCTCTTTCTGAAGTGTTAAAAATTCACATTTTTAAAACGTGCTCAGTGCAAAACCTTTCATGTGAAAATGAGTTTTATTTGCATGAGAATAAAAAGATCATTTTCATATCAATAGCTTCGCCGTTGGCCTCCCTTTGAAACAGAGGCCGTGACCGTTGACCTTGTTCCAAAACGTCGACGCCAGATATCAAGGTTTGATACTTGCAAAAAGGCAGTCGATGATAATGAGCACGTCAGGAGCCCATAACAATGAAATTCTCAAATATCAGTGGCGGATCCAGGGGAGGAGCGCCCCCCCTGCTGCTTATCTGAAGGTCTAGATCCGCCACGGAATATTACAAAAAGTTCCTCACTATTCAGGAATCCACCTATTTGTCAGTAGAGATTAAAAAGTGGAAAAAGTATATGAAAATATCCCCTTTGAAGAATGGCCTGCAACTTCAAATTCAGTCTTAGCTTTTTGCAACTCTCAGACATTACCAGCCATTCACAAGATCCTTCCCACTCCTCTTCAGTACTACACCCGTGGGAAGTGTTTCTTGTGAATGCTCTTTCTTTTTTTTTGCTGTGAGGTGTCTCAAATTGTGGAACCGTTCTACAATGACTGAGAAACGCTTGAGTGGCCTAGAGATGCTTATCATTCACCGTGAGACTAATTACGTACGGAATCTGAGGTCTGATTCATTTACCCAGTAAAACGAAACTGGCGCCAAGTGACCCAACCACACGCTTCTTTTGAACTGAGCCCTCTGCGTGAGTATTTATACCGTCGTCTATCGATGAAGGGAAATCCATTTGAAGACATTCTAGAATAAACTGGTCAGATATTGATGCATCAGCAATAGTTTACAAAACGTTTACTTTTGACGGAATATCAATGAAATTAACATTTCCTTGTCTCCGCATCTCTGTATTCATTTCAAAATGTTCTGAAAGAGAATCTGCTCCAGCCTCGGTTCCCCCCCCCACCCCCCTCCTCCCCCAGTTAAAAATGTCTCGCTACGACCTTGAAACAAACTTTTCTCTCACAAGTATAAAATGTGAAGCACGGCGAAGGTCTTGTTCACAATCAGTCAACCAATAAAAATTTTACAAGTACGTCTTCTAGGAATTCCTTGAGCTTTCCGGGAATTTTTGCCTTTAGCGTCGATGATTGGATCGTTCGTTCACTTTATCTTGTGTATAATTAAGTAACCGGTATTCTTTCACAACACACCATAACAAGAACAGGCGTTGTTTTGAACTGATACATACCGAGACCTACTGTACTAAAAATACATAAAAGCTAGCAGTTGGGCCAAAACTGGCGGGCAACAACGGTCATGAGAACAGTAACAACCAGCACAACATCCCCTGAAAAAACCCGCGGAACTTTCCGTATGTGTATTTCTTTCCAATATAAATCTATTTTTAGTAAGAGTGCTTTCAAAACTCCAAGAGCCCCAGCCACTTACACTTCAGTCCAACCATCGAGTTGGCTTCCTCAGAGTAAATATGCAATCCTCAACGGCTCAAGGTTACTTGAGTACGAATATATTCAAAAGTACAACGCAAAACTGCTGGTATTTAATTTTTAAACGTTGAATGCTCTTGAAGTTCCTTTAGACTGCGACAATGACTATTTCAACTCTTTTGCTTTTACTTAACTTGCAAGTGAAAATTTGTTATTTCTCATCAATGTTTAACTATTTTTAAATCTAAAACTGAGGAAAGCCCACTGGAGAACTGGAGATGGTAGTGAAATTTTACCTAATGACGTGCTTTCTAAGAAACCTCATAACTTTCCTAGAATGTAAGCCACTGGAATCAATGATTGGCTAACTCGTCCATTAAGGTCGCGGAATAATTCTGATTGGACGAAATGTCACCCACTGACGTAAAGCTTGTACTAAGCTGTGTTTTCGCTTCACGGATCAGTTTCAGTGCGAGTGTGCAGATTTTGGTGTATTATAAAAATCATTATTGGTAAGCTCTAAGAATATCTAGCATTGAACTGAACCATGTCTAGTGGAAAGGTAAGTTTGACTATACCTAGCTAGTGTTTCCTTTTCTCATTTCCGGTCTAGTTACCAATTTCTTATGTTACATTCTATTTACCACCCGAACGTACCTATGCTTCCGTTCACTTCCGTCTGTAAACGTTTCTCAAAAATCATCTCCAAAGTTCGCGAGCCCAGTGTAAAAGTGAAGCCTGTTTCAGGAGTACATCAAGGTCGTAATTATCTACCTTTAACTGAGAATGTATCGGAGGCGGATTGCAGCTTGATCTTCTACGGGAATGGAAGCAAGCGTTCGAATAACTAAATGTCTCCGATTAGATTTTTAATACTGTACGAGCTTGGGTGGTTGACAGTGATAGTGCGTTGAGATGGATACTAACAATGACTTTTACAATTAATGTTACAAATCAGACGCCATATCAGGGAAACAGACGTTGCTTTGGAGAATACAGATGCCCACAGTGCAATAGACTGTGGATGAGTGCCAACAGTTGGGCCAACACTGGTCAGCAATGTCAGTCCTGTAACATTATTGTATACCCACACACACAACGTCGCCTGGAAAAACCCGAGGGACTGGACGTTGGAGATCCCAAAAAACGCCACCCGCAGCATTTGTGCGAGAAATGCAAGAGATTAGGTTACTTCTGTGGAGATACAGATCGCCGCTAACGCTACTAGCACAACTAAAAGCAGCCACAACTGTGTTATATGCCGTCAAACACAATGTTTGACTTACTAGCCAAGGGTTGGTTAATAATCCTTTCACAATTGTAACTACTTACACATGAATTTTTGTTTCAATCCACTGTAAAACTAAGTGTAACAGTAAGCTTCAATTCGCAGATTATTAAATTTAAAGTACTTTTCATTCTTGTCATTTTTTTTTTTTTTTTGAGGGGAAGGGGAGTATACGTGAGGGGTTTTTTTTAACGTTATTCATATTCTTAAAAATATGAACTAGGGTAAAAATATGAGAAATTTGCCTCTTTCCTAAAAAAGTACATTGATTTTATTTTTGCACAGCCATATTTTGAAACAAAACTGTTTTGTGAATAGCTTTCAGGTCAATATTAGGCTGCAGATGCATTCGCTTGAATTTTATTCACTTCTATAGCGCAAATTCAACTCAGAGTTTTCAAATGCGCTTTACATTCAACATCTAAAGAGAAAACTATATAAAAGTATAAAATAAGTGCATAAAAATAAATAAAATAAATAAAATTACAGTCAATAATGTTTACACACACACAGGTTAAAATCTAAAATTATCTCGTAAGTTCCAGGTTAAAAAAGAGTGATAAGATAGTCGAAATTACTATCTAATAAATAGGTTATTTAAAATAAGCTTTCTTGAAAAGATATGTTTTTAAAACGTTTTCTTAAAAGTGCTGATTCCCTGCTCCTCCCGGAGCTCTTAAGGGTGTGAGTTCCACAGTTTTGGAGCGGCAACCGAAAAAGCCCGGTCCCCAAGGGTAGGGGGTGTCTTAACATATGGCGGCTGCTTCTTGAATCAAATGGTTAATTTTAAAACGTAATCAACCTAGACGTTACAAGTGAAGTCGCGCTGTTTTTCCTCTACCAAATACTGTGACAAAACTGTGATAAGACAAGAACACACCTACAGCGGCGTTTCCTCTCGCCTGCCAGAAATCAGGAGGCGATTACTTGTACAAGAAACATGATTTACTCGCTAAAGGTTTTTTTACTTCCAACTTTATCGACGTCAATTCTCTTTATTTGTTTCTGAATTGATTTAGTGCGCGTGTTAGCGACGACCAGAAATACCTCTCTAGTAGCAGGCTATACGCGTGTATAAATGCACGAAAATTCAAGGGCCTCGATTCCAGAGAAATTACATCATTGGCAAATATCAAAAAAGTGATTTACATGCCACGTCATTTCAATCATCGCCGAAAATAAATTGCATGCTCATCACAACACTCATTAACAGTGAAAGTTTAGCACAGCCGACCATCGCAATTTTGCTAATTAATATCCTTTTTTTTTTCCGACCACTCAGTAGTGTTCACTTGTTCCAAAGTTATCAACGCTTTCAAGCGATAGAATTCGTGGACCGACAAGTTTCGGAAAAGCTCTAGATTTAATCTTTCCTAAGCTTTCTTCGCAAAACAGGCGTGGCTTCGATCATGCAACGATTCTTAGTCCCAGTTTCCACGGTCTCCGCAAGGAACGCCTGGCACAATGACCTACCTTTTGTGTCCCAAATTCGACCAAAAATTCCGCGGGGGGGGTCCTTCCAGAAAAATTCGGTAGGGGTGTGTTGCACGCTTCAAGAAACCCTTACCCTATTTCAGACCAAAATCTGTGATTTTCCCCACCCAATTTCAGACCTGATCAAAAATTTGATACCCTATTTCACACCTGAAGCCCTGGAGCCCGGCGCGTGACAAGCTGTTACGGCACGTACAAGGTAGTTGGAGTAAACACTAATTAAAAGGGAAAACGTCTTATCGCCAAATGATGAAGTAGTAGCTAATTCTTCTAAAAAAAACATACCCAATTCAAGACTAGAGTGCACAAACCATACCCTATTTCAGACCAAAATGGTAGAATTCAGACCAAAACGGCTAAAAAACCATACCTTTGGCGCGGCACATACCTATATAGCCTGTATAAGGGACTACTCCCCGGGGCGAAAAACGCGTTGCAGATTACGAGTCTCGCTGCTAACGCAAGCAAGACTAATAAGGACAGTCATGAGAGAAGTCATAGTGGGAGATCTGATTTAGAATGAACAGTGAGGGGGAAATCAGTGTGATATAAATTTTCTCTAGCCTACGTCGCGGTGTTTAGCTTCGTCTGTGGCGCAGGCTAGGTTCTCTCTTTCTTTAAAAACAATTATAATTCTTAATAATTTTAATTTTTTAAAATTATAGAGCGTTTTCACATGACGTCACGGCGGCCTTGTTGGTGTTCCAAACCAGTCCTGTGGGAGTTGAATTCTTTTCTTATGTAAACGCTTTCTTTTGTTCCAATAAATTTGCATAGCGGCTGGCCACGTGAGTGTAAACGCTCTATAAACCCCGTCTTTCGATTCCCTTCTACTGTTTTTAAAGTCTCTGCATCTTTTATATTCAAAAAGGGTTTTTGTTACTGGATTATCAAATCCAACGTGTTTATTTTACAGTATAATTATCACCAACAATATACCCGTGAAAAAGGTCTTGAATTTTACAACGAGCACAGTCATTATGAAAGAACAATCTTAACAAAAACAGAAAATCAGAAATACTGTAGATGCAGGCATGTAATTTTCACCACGTGGCGAGTCCAAGATGAGTATGAAATGCCTTTTTTGTTTGTTTGTTTTTCAAGAGAAGAGCTCTGTTTTACCTTATGATGGGGTTTGTTCTAATCCGTAAAATGACGTGTATAATGATCAAAAATTGCATGGATTTAGTGCGTACACTGTAGCATACAATCCTACAAATGACCAAAACAACTGCTTTAGATAAGGTCTGGCCAAAACTCCTTCATTACTGTTCATTCGTCATTCCTTCCGCGCAGCACCACGCTATTTTTCGTTCCTCTCTCTATAGTCGAAGTCCTTGAACATTCCATGCTCAGCATATCCATCTCCCGGCATAGCAAGGCACTTTGTGATGCAGGCCCTCATCCATAGTTGCAAGTTTGCTCCTTTCTTCAAACTCAGTATAAAACGAGCGTGCGATTATGCTCTATCAGCTGTTACCCAAGACATCTAGTTTATAGACTATAATTCTCCCAAAAAGGTCCGTACTGCTGGTAAATTCAATCTTCAAAACTTTAATTCTTTTCAAGGTACTGATAGGGAAAATCTAAGAAATGTAGAGTTGAGGAATAACGGTCATTCTAATTCCATCTCGAGATCGTGATTAAGTTATTGCAAAATGTTCAGGACACAAACTGTTTGCTCCCTGCTCATAGCAACATAGGTATTTGTATTTTTGGATGAACAGGTATGGAGAATAGTTTCAGTTTGAGGACATGCCACAGAGTGAAGACAGCAGTCATGAAGTACCGGTACTTCAGCAAATAATAACTGTCAATCACAACGAATATATCTCCTCAACTTTACAAATTGTGATGACCTTACTTGGGGCCAATGCCCAGGGTATGCCTATAAGGATGGGATTGGTAAGTAAATGAGCTTAGAATTGGCCTTCCCCACCCACCCCACCCTTATAGGTATTACAACATGACTGCTATGTTAAAAAATATATGCTAACAAAACCTGACATTACTATAGTAAATATTGTGAAGTTTGGTGCTTAACCAAGACACATACAAGGAAATAGCAACATATTAGGAAAGGTCAAAGGATACTTGTAGAGTGTTTGAATCATCTGGGTAAAATTCATAGAAAGGTGTTAAGCAGCTAGCTGATGGGCCTCCTTCAACAGTACATTCTTTTCCAACAAATCCACCTTGAAACTGAATCTGAATTTCCTTCACTTGAGAATCCTTGGAAAATTCGAGGATAACAAATTGAGGAGAACCCTAGACGAAAACCATCAGATGTCAAAAGATTATCATGTTGAATTGTTCTGCTTGATTTTCTTGCTATGGTGGCCAGAAAACATAGAAGATCAGTGGGTTTCAATTAATGTTAAAACAATCTTTGTTTACACTTGATCTTGAAGTTGAGTTTATTGGATAGTTCATGTTCTCAGACATTGTTCACAGAGTACAGGGCGAATTTTGGACTGGACATTTTGACCTAACATTTCATTCACACAAAACCGTTACATATTTTTAAGTTCCAGAAAGTCTCCATACTCCCCCAAAGGAAGGGATTGGAAACTACCAGAGGAGGAGGGTCTCACAGACTAAATAATTTAAAGAAAATATTAATGTATGAGGCTTTATTGGAATTTCCAGAGGGGGGGGGGGGGGGGGGTTTAAAACAAAAAAAAAAATAAGGGGTTTTAACTGCACACCAAAAAAAAAAAAAATAAAAAAACATCCAGTGGAAAGCCCCAAAAAAAAAAAAGGAAAAAAAAAAAAAAAATAAAAAAAAGGGGGGGGGGGGGGGGGGGTCTTAGAACAAATCAAAGTATAGATGGTTTTCACTGTCATGCAACAAAGAAATAAATTGAAAACCATCCAGTGGAAGAGCCCAAGAAAATGAAATGTTATAAAAGATAAATATATAAACAATTTATCCAAGTCTCAGGTCTTTGTGGCCCATAGTTTCTGAGTTATTTGACGAAACTTTTCATGCACCTTTGTAGAGCTTTGTATGGAGACATATTGGTCTACCGTTTTGGTCCACCAATATGGCCGCTGAAAATCAACAAAAATATCTGGAGTTCACTTTTGCTATAAAAGCTCTTTCCTTTCACTCGAGAACTAGCATATGTGCACATAAACATATCTTTTAATATTTGAAATCGTCATACTGCCGAAAATCAAGAGGGGAGACTTTTTTTCAATAAGACAGCATTCCTATTTTGGTGTCACGCACTGTGAAAACTCAGAAGTTCAAATTGCTGTAATGTCAAAGTGAAAAACACTAGGGGAATGGAAACTTGTAAAGAGATTTACTTTTTGTTTATCTTCAACCTAGGGTAAATAAGAATTCGTAAAACCTCGCTACTTTGACTTTACAATTTGATGACGTCACTGTGAAAACCATCTATAGAGAGGAAGGCAATATAAACAACACACACCTGATCTGAGTTCCAGCATGTTTCTTCATTTTTATCAAACATAAACTTCTTTCCATATTGACTGGAATCTCGGTTTAAAACAGAACTGACTCTTAAAAGAAGGATAACACAAAGAATATGTAAATACCACACTACAGTCCAAAGAGCAGAAATGAAATAAAATATAATAGGCAGAATAAACAATACATATTGCAATGAGGTATTCTTAGAAGAAATATAGCACGGGTGGAACAGTGGGCAGTACAGTACTCATGACAACTAATCATGCACCAATAAGAGTTACTGAATCAATCCATAAGTCTATTGACAAGAATGAGTTTGGCTGCAGTATTTTAATTGATCTAAAAAAGGCTATATTGATACAGTTAATCATTCTATTGTTTTATTAAAGCCACTCGTGGAGTACTTCAAGGATCCATTCATGGACCCCTGATGTCTCTGCTTAGTTTTTACTCATTTACTGATGACATTAACATAATATTATTATAGTGCTCTAGTAATTTAAAGATCTTCAAAATCAGGAACTAATCTGCTGAGTGGATGAAATTCTGAATAGACCAGCTCTCAGTATTTTAGACACAAATTATTTCTGTTTCATTCTAAGAAACTAAACCAATGCAAGCTATTAGATTTAAAAATTTAGATCTTCACATTTTGAGTGGTCACTCCCGGGAGGTTTTGACTGTAGATATAATGAGGGGGACATGGGTCTTACGGTATTTCGGTATTGAGTTTTTTTTCAAGTGGTATTTCGGTAATTTTGATTTTAACGTCCGGTATTGCAGTATCATTAAGCCCCGTGGTATGCAGTTTTTCATTCTTCATTCTTTTACCTAATGGTATTTGATAAAAGGGGATCCTTCACAGTATTGCCGTACTGTTTATTGCACTCTCCCGTCTAATGCACGTCATTATTTTTAAGACTTATCTAATGGTGAATGATTACACAATTTCTGACAGTTAATCTATGATGAAATTGGTAGGACATCCTTTCCGATCATTGTACTGATCAATAGACCTTTTTAGCAATACGGCGGCCAGATTGAATAAATTCGATTTAAGGTGTATTATAGGATGCCCAGGGGGCATGAGCACATTTCGTTTGTATTTTCGAGCGCTTTTTTCGGGACATTTTTTCTTAAAGTTTTCTTAGCATAAGATTGTAATGGGAAAAAAAGTCCTTGTGCCCTGTGTTGATGTAATAATGGTCGCCTTTTTCCCGAGAAGTATACAGTGAAAGACCATATCTCTAATACTAAACTAGAGAAAGGCGATCGTTATTACATCCAAACACAGCACAAGGATCTTTTTTCCCATTAAAGTCTTATTCTAAGAAAACTTGTCCAGAAAAGCATGGAAAAATGTCCAGAAAAGCACTCAAAAATACAAACGAAATGTGCTCATGCCCCCTGGGCATCCTATAATACTCCTTGCATCGAATTAATTCAATATGGCCGCTGTATCGGTAAAAAGGTCTATTCAAGGTCTTCTGACATTTCCTCGCAATGGTTGAGGTTGATTTTTGGTGTATACATGCTTGAGATAAACAAACACGCGAGATGGATACAACTTAAGTGAAAGTGACCGATCAGAAGTGCAGTATCAGTATTTCGTCGATTTTCAACACAGTATTTCGGTATTTGCAAATTTTTCTTACAGTATTGTGGCATTGGGTACCCCCAATGTCCCCCTCTATAATTTCTCAAACAATAGTAAATAACAAGAATCAAATTTGAGATTAGGGCCCAGGTTTTGCCAATAAAATTTGTTTCTACAATCAGCGACAAAATTGTTAATAGGGTAACTTTGGAAAACAAAAGAATCTGCACCCCTCCCCTGTTCCCTCCGTTCAAAGTTGGGGTGTTTGTTGCTTTCTAAGGTAGCTCGAACATAATGGCACAACATTGCGAGGAGATGGGGGAGGAAAAGCCATACTTCCTCCTTTTGAAGTCAGTAAAACGTCTAAAAGTCCACTTTAAGACAAAGGGTCTCAACCCATTTTGTCACCGATTGTAGGTTAGGTTTTGCTTTTTCTACTGCAAGTTCTGCGAAAAAAAGTTAATTAGCGTTCTTCTGCATGGTCACGTGATTAGGCTGCTTAGAAAGTCGAATTTCAAATGTGCCGAATTTGATGAAGACGAAGAAAATCTATTGTTCTTACTCATTTGCATTAGATTCGGCACATTTGTCGTTCGACGTTTGAAACTGGCTTTAAAAAGAGACTCGGTGGTACTCGGAATACCCTTTTTTTATATTAACCCTTCCAGACATTTTTTACTTTCAGTCCATATTTTCAGCAGATATTTAGGTCAGTTTTCACGAATTACACCACCGAAATGAAGCAAAGTAATGCCTACTGGCTATCAGTTTATCAGCTCTGTTTCGTTTCTTACCTTACTTTTGTACTTTCCGAAACTAAAGAAACCTTTACATCACCGGCGTCCGCCATGTTGTCGGGGAAAGAAACTTACCTAATAAGGCCATGTTCACCAAATACAGAAATAAGGGCTGCTAGGTTCCAGTCCATTTGTCCAGCCATCCAAGATTTAGAAGCAAAATGGCCGATAGTTCAAGAATCATTGGAAAGATCAGCGTCGTAGCAACACTTTACAGGAATTCAGAGGCTAGTTTGTAAGTCTAAGCGATATAAAGGTCAGTAATACAAAGGAGAGATTGAACCTCGGGTATTCGAACCTTGACGGCACTAAAGACAAAGCACGATAGCGGATTCCTCTAAGCTTTCGTTGTTGTTCGAATTGACAGCTGATTTCGTTTCAAAATGTCGGTGAACTACGCTGCCGGTCTGTCTGATTATCCACACAAAGGGAAGTGCGGATTACCTGAGGTAAGAATCGTTTAACAATGATGTTTAGTAACAATGATTTTGTTTAATTTAATGTGCTTTGTCTGACGAAATATCAGATATACACTCGTATAGGACTAGGTAAGCTGCCGCCGGTAATTTCTACATTAAACACTTAAGATTAGAAATACAAAAGTCTTCCTTTTCAAAATTTGGAGCCACACTGTAGAATGCAAAACCAACACATTATAAACAGCTTAAATACGTCAATTTCAAAAAACGATTGCATGAGACTCTCAAGCAGATCCTAAAGGACCAAGACGAATTTCTTGAACCGGTCAACATTCTACAACTGACTTTCTCTTAGTGTTAATCATTTTGCTTGTAAAGCTAGCATGCATACATATACTTAATTTTTACCCTTTTTTATGTAATTGATTGTGCTTTATTGTCTTACCTAATTAATCTTCCTTTTTCTTATGACATTTTTTTTTCTTAACATGATATTTTACGAATCTACCGATTTTTTTTTTTCACAACCCGCCTCAAATAGCCTTTGCCACTTGCGAGTTGTCTTTTAATTAGTTTTGTAAGGGACTGATTGTTTACCGGTATTGTGTCCCACAGGCGGAGTGGAGGGGTTGGAGGGGGGGTACAATTTTTTCTAATGATTAAACTGCACAAATATTTATCTACAAAGGGAAACCGAACCGACACTAATTTTGTAGTTGTAAGAGAAACGATCATTTTTTATATTTCCCCCTAGGCCTAAATATTACCATGCAAGCTGTTTTATAATTTCAAAAAAGTATGCCTCATGACACTTCAAACTTTTATATAGCAGGTTCGTAAAGCCACAGGAGTCTGAGAACTGACTCTTCTCCGAACATTTATACTTGTGATAGCACCTTAGTTTCAAGAAAATAATCCTTTCAACAGGAAGAGACCAAGAAACTGTCAAATGTTGGAAAAAAGGAAGCTATTCCTATGCAAAATACGCATGATTTGCTCGTTGGCACTCTATCGATAGTTACACCTAGTCTTATTTCCAGCGTGTTGCGTTATTTGACCCCGATGCGTTTAGGCTTGTGACAAGGTTCATTGCGTATGCAAATTTTTTTTCGTGGAACTTCACAACAAAAGATGAAACATGTGAAGTTCATTTTCAAGAAGGAGATTATGAATTAAACCTGGAGTGTTTATTCGCGATATAACAGCTACGGTTTCATGACATTATTATAAAGAGTTAGTTACACCTATTGTACGCATATTTCGGAAATATTTTTGAGATATCATCGTTATGAAAAAAAAAAACGAAACGACCGAATCAAGCGAAACCTCCGAAACGATTTCGCTTGATTTGCTCTTCGTTTTGGTTTTGGTTTTGGTCGTTTTGGTGCTTTCGCTCGTTTTGTTCCGATGGTTTCATTTTGTTGTTTCGGGTTTTAGCTGAGGGCAAACGAGAAGCGAACAAATGAATAAAGTTCATCAGATATGGCTTTTCAGACAGTATTCCAGTTACATTTTACCAAGAGACTTCAAGTTATTATGCTCCATGTTTACTATCCGTTTAGCGTTCTAAGTAACTGTTTTTCCTGGAACGATCTTGCCGACTCATCCGTTTTCAAACGTTTCCAGCTGTCCGTTTGTGGACTTGGGTCAATCGTTTAACGGTTTAAGCTATCCGTTTTGGGATTTTGGTCAACCGTTTAACGTTTCAAGCTAACCGTTTATATTTTTGGTCAACCGTTTAACGCTTCAAGCTATCCGTTTTTGGACTTTAGGCAACCGTTTAAATTTTTTGCTATCCATTTAAAGAGTTATGGAAACCATTTAAACGCTTGAGTTAACCGTTTACTATCCGTTTAGAACCGTTTTTCTTGACCGTTGAACGGAAAAGCGTTAGTGTCCATTTTCCCAAAGAGGGTCACAAATTTTGTTTAATTTCCTGAGAGCATTTTATCATTACATCGGGATGAATAATTATTTCACTTTGTATTGGTGTTTTTGTGTCAGGATTTCCTTTATCCTCTTACTGATTACATTGTAAGTGGAGTGAAGTGGATCCAAATGTGAAGCCACAGACCTTGGTTGAGACTTTGACCAAGCCAAGTACAATTCTATCCCAGAGTATAATGTAGCTCACATAACTTTGTTGACTTATCCTTGTTAACATGCACAGCTGAGTGTAGCTTCAGTGGTATGAAGAGACAGTCTGCAAACTCCTTTACGAAGGACCATGACAGACGAGAGACTGAGCCCTCTTGCAATTCTGCACATACACAAGCTCAAGGCAAAAACTGATGTTGATAGCATTTTATAAAATAACTGAGATAGTTTGCGCGTTCTGATTGGTTAAAAACCTTTAGTTTATTGTGCCGGTAAACTCATAAAAAACATGAAGTTATTTTATAAAAGCAATAGACCACGCTTTCTATGGGTTCACTGGCATGATAACACACTGGGGATGTTGGGAGAACACGAGAAAAGCCTGTAAATCACTCATCGTGGGCTCGTGATTTACAAGCTTTTCTTCATGTTCTCCCAACATCCTGCGAGGGTTATTATGCCAGTAAACCCATAGAAAGTGTGTTCTGTTGCTTAAATAACGTCAGCATTACAGCTGTAGCATTAAAAGCTAAACAAACAGGACAAAGTCTTGAAATTCACTTCTGTGACTTCCGCTGCAGAGCAGTCGAAGTTTCTCATCTGAAAATGGCGTCAAATGAATTTAATAGTCTTCGAAAAACCTTCAATATTAAAATCATGACTTTTCCTTCAGCATTAGAAACTTTTGGTTGCTACTGCATGAAGTAAAAACTGATAAAAAGTCAGGTTTCATACATTGTGTATTACATGTGACATCAGTATGCCATTAACTTTTGCAAGTTTGTAGCGTTTTCTATCTTACTATGAACACGAACGGTACACTCAGAGGTTTCTTTTACCATTTATTCAGCGTTATCTACGCCTCCCTACTTTTTGCCGTCTGTTTTGTGGAAACTTTTGAAAGGCTCGCAAAACATTCCAGTTGTTGAAAATGATTCACAGGGGCTATTCAAGATCATATTTGAATCTCTTTTTAATTTACGCCGGCACGTGAGATACATGTAGATACAAACCTTCACAAATTTAAAAACAGTTGTGATAGTTCAAAAGATAGACTTGATACAAAAATGCTGAGTCAATTTTCCAAACTTCAAGATAAAACCCGTTTTGTCCTTTTTTATCACCTAAAAACTTAAACTTAACTTCGCTTAAATGGTGGACACAAGTGTATGTAGTTGGTGGGTGCATTCGCTGTACGTGTGAATGGTCATTGTTATGTTTCTTGAGAAATAAATCATTTCTCGATATCCTTTCAAGTGGTGACTATGAAAAAATCTGGTTTCTCGAAACTCGAGACTCGGTTTACCCGTTTCGAAACTCGATTCGTTCGAGGCTCAAGTATTGTTCCAGTGTTGTCTCTTATCTAGGAAGATTGAAGGGCCTCTTCTCGTAGGGTATAAATTGATAAACAACAACTTCTTCAAAGAACAATCTTTCCAGCAATACCTCTTTTTGGATATTCTGACCAATCCTGTCAGAGTTACACTCACCAAAAAGGTATCATTTTGAGGAAAAATTCACTGCTAATTTCGCTGTCTACATACTACTCTTTAAAGATTCAGTTTTGCCCCTTTCCTAAGAAGTTAGCCAGCCACAATTCCAGGCAAAAGAAGGACAATAAAGTGGGCAACAAGACTGTTAATAAACAAGAAAGGCAAAGGGAAAAAAGAGAGCAAGAGAGAAAGAACAGATAAATAGATTCGCAAAAAAAGGGTCCAAATTTTGGCTTTTGTGCATGCGTGAAAAACAAAAAGGCTGAGTGTTTAATTACGTCAGATTAGTCGAAAAATATGCCTTTTTCTTGCAAAACTTGTTTTTAGCCTTTTATATGCTAATTAGCAGAAAACTAGTCCAAAGAAGAGGAATTTGTAAAAAATACAGTTTTTTGCTACTTGCCGGCCATCACCAAAGCATCAATAAAGTTACTAATCTTTTTTAATTGGGCTCCTAGAAATGCAGCTCAGGCTCCTAACTTTTTTCTGATTGTAATAAACAATCAGTCCCCAACAAGGTTTTTGAAATATAATAAAGTTGCTTTTTTTGCGTTTTATTGTTTTTCAATCTGTAGGTTTTTGACTCTCCTGAGCAGCTGGATGTAAAAATGGCAGATTTGATACAGCTTTTTCGTGAATCGAAATACATTTTGATTCACACAGGTGCGGGTGTTAGCACTGCAGCTGGTATTCCTGATTTCAGGGGACCAAAAGGTGTTTGGACTTTGGAAGAAAAAGGATTAGCTCCTCAGATGGACACTACATTATTTTGATGAGGCCAAGCCATCCCTCACACACATGGCTTTGCTCAAGCTTGTACAAGAAAATTTTGTCAAGTATATTATTAGTCAAAATGTTGATGGCTTGCATTTGAAATCGGGGCTTCAAAGGTATTGCAAACAATTATTTTTTTGACTATATTTTATGTCATAAATTATACCCTTCCCCTCAAGGGTAAACTATAGACCTCTTTAGCATGTATGTTTTGTTTTCCCAAAAGAGGTCCCAGGGAAACTTGACCCTTTGTCTTTTCATAAATTATGCATACATATGCACTTGAATAAGAAAATTTTTTTAAGAAAACAGTTCTCTAGAGTATGTATTGGGAAAACAAAACATACAGATGTATTGTAAGAGGACTGTTGCTGAGGCAGTCATGTAGATGCCAATAATTAATTTTAAGTTTGAATTGTATGGAGTGGGAAATGGACTTACCCTAAAGGGGTATTGGCAAGGCCCACAGGAATGAACTGGAGGCCTTCCCCATCCAGAGAAATTTCCTAAATTCTGTGTTGCAAAGATAGTAGTGAGGTTAATACACAACAGGACAGCAGGAAGAAGAGGATGGTAAAACACTTGTGTTTGACAAATGTGGCAGGGCTATTACACAGGGGTTTCATTAAGGTTTTGAACAGTAGGGCAACTGGTTTTGACGCCGAGGCAAAGAATTGGTTGGGGCATGCTCCCCTGGAAAATTTTGAAATTCTATAGTTGCAGAGATGTATCCTGCATTCTGAAGCTGCAGACACTGTCTTTCAACTCCAAAAAAGATAACCTTTCCAGACACTTTAAACATGATTTGACACCAATATCCACCACACAAATAGGGTCTTTTTTAATATTTCATAATCTTATTGACATATTGTCACACCAAACAAGAACAATTTTAGACTTAACTGTAACTACTTAAAAGGTTAAATCACAAAGAAGTCTACTCACCTCTTGGCCTTTTCTTTGCTGGAGGCAATTTGGGTGGAGATGAAAAATACTCGGCAATCAAACGCGTTCATTTCTAGGCCACCATGGCTCAGACATGTACTTGTAACACTTAGACATTTCAGATGGTCTTTTATGCAGCGCAGCTCTTTTTGCAATGCGTTCTGGGGCAATTCTTGGTTTTCAAGAACAAAGGGTTTTCATGCCGCTTGTGATAAAGAGGAAATTTGACAGTAAATTATGTTACTTTTAAGTTTAAGAAGGCTCATCAACATGTAGAAAAGGACACAATTGTAACTTACAACTGTTTTTGATCCTTCCTTGTATTAAAAAAAAGTTCTTTGAGATGTTAAGCAGCCAGGCAAAGTCATGTTCACAGCTGGTCAATTTGCCTGGTGCACGGCCCTTAATCATGCTTTCTTCATCATGACTGCATGTTCTTTACGTTTTTCCTGGAAGGTCGAAGCTTTCTGAACTCCATGGTAACATGTTTGTGGAGAAGTGTGACAGATGTGGAACAGAGTATGTCAGACAACATGCAGTGACAACTGTTGGACTGAAAAAAACGGGAGGAGTATGTGAAAGGAAACGTGTCAGAGGACATTGCCGGTATGTCCTCTTCGCTTTGATAATAAGGGTGCAGACAATACATGTAGTTTACAAAATAAAAAACAATAAAAGGTACAAAACTGTATTGCTAGCATGTTGTTGTTTTCCTCAATTTGTTTACCCTTTTTCCCCCCTAAAGTGACTAAAGTCAAAAGTGAAGAAACTTTCCAAATTTAATGTGGCAAAATTTAGAAAAACAAAACCTGAATTACCATGTTAGAGTACTGCTAAAGAGGTTTCATTTGAATGGTCACATTATAGGATTTTGTCCACAGACATAAAAGTCATAACACATTAATAATTTTTTTTTCATAACTGGCTTTGGGAGTGAAAATTGTTTACCAGCCCAGGACGATGCTGTTTATGTTTATGGTGATTGTTTGTGATGTTCTAGTGGTAAACTGCAAGATACCATCCTAGACTGGGAAGATTCTTTACCTTATCAAGATTTGGTCTTGGCAGAACACCACTCAAGGTGGGTCAGGATGCATTATCATTATCATTAGCATAAAGTTACATGTAAGTTAGCATCCTTTTGAGCAACAAAGTGGATTCATCTTGGAATGAAATATGTTTCTTTCAAGTCTTCTCCAACAAGCTGGAACTGAGTGTGACTTTTCCTCTGTGATCTCCATGAAGAGCGAGACTGTGAAACATTGAGTCCTGCTTTATTAAAATTAAAGAGCACTGTTTCATCCCACCCCACTCTCTCCTCTCCAACCCACCAAGACCTTTAGAAAGGACAATTACAAAGTCTGGTGTCTGAATCTGTGCATGGTATAGCATTGTTGCTGTTTGCTAACTGTTTTTTCCAAATCCTCCATTCTAGGCAAGCCGACTTAGCAGTGTGCCTTGGAACTTCACTTCAAATCCAGCCGAGTGGAAATTTGCCAGTTCTCACTGTCAAAAATGGAGGAAAACTAGTAATTGTTAATCTTCAGAAAACAAGACAGGTGATTAGTGCTTATTGGGTATTAATATTTTATTAGTCATATTTCAAAAGGAAATCCCCAGACTTCTGGCTTGCACAGTTGTACAGGGACCTCCTCAGTGTTCACTTTATAGAGGTGTCCTTTAAATACAGCTTTGTTTTACAGAAAATAAAAAAGACTGGGACTTTTTGGCAAAGGTGTCCTAAAGTCCCAGTGCGCTAATTGTGGCCCACTTAATATGGGTTTCACTGTCCATAGGAAATTGTTGACTGCATAGCAATGATTTCAATATCTTGCAGACTTTTCCCATTCTGTAAAAGTTACATGGAATATTTAAATGTTAAAATAAATTGAATAGTTAAAAGAACACGTATTTGTAATATTATTTTTTGTAAATACATGTAAATAATAACATGTACTTTTAGGGAATAAAAATAAAAGCCAGGAGGGGTTCTTTCTCACGGTTTGGTGTCTTTATGGACAGGAAACTGTCATCCTGCTATGATAAAGAAAATCCTGGTGATAATTTACAGTTGCAAATTGGGTAATTATCTGTTATACTGTACATTTACACTGTACACTGTAACTCAGATGGACCCATAAGATCTTTGTCCAGTATTCCTGTAAAGTGGAACCTTGGGTGTATAATTTTAATGCTGTTTCTCAAGGTGTCTAATAGGAACATTTGCTGACTATACAACTGTCAACAGTACCTTCTCCAGATCACTTTTGTCTTTAATATTGTAAACTAGCACTGCAAACTTTAAATATGTAACCATTTTATAGACTTCATCTTATGTTTGAACTTCAGGATAAGAAAGCCACCTTGATTATCAACCATTATGTAGACAAAGTTATGAAAGCACTCATGGATGGCCTAGGATTGTCCATTCCTTCTTTTACTGGAAAACCATGGTGGACTACTCCATGCAAAGATATAAATAGTACAGAAACAAAAGACCAGGTGGAAGACAGCAATAATGACCAAGTTAATTGTAAAGCACCGTGTGTGAAACGGTTTAAGCAAGATCATGAAGAAGACGATGGCAAATAACTAGATGGCTATTTCTTAATATTTTATTTGTACAAAACTACATATTTATGCATTTTTTAACTTATTGGTTAAGACTACAGATGCATTTGTTAAAATAATTAGAAATATTATTGTACAGTGTATTTGGTATTTCCTTACACAATCAGTTTACTATCTTGCTCAAAGTTCTTAGCAGTGGTTGGGAGAGCCAGTGCAGTCAAAATGTCTTTTCATCCCCAGTTCAAAGGAATTTCAAAATAACCCAGCAAGGTTGTGCTCTAGCATAAGCATAACAGGGGCCTAACTTTTTTTCCCCGGCGACTAGAAAATCTTACTTTTTTCCATAGAAATCATATTCTGGGCACCTTGGATTTCCCAGGTTCAGAGCACTGGCCCTTCAGTTTTTCTTAGAGCACAGTCTTGCCCAGGATCTACAGTCTTTGTATCCTCTAAAATGACTTGTTGAAGTGGCAGAATACAGTTTTGCGGGCGGTCAGCGATAACTCGCATGACGGCGCATGTTTTAAATAAGACAAACAAGCATGGCGGCGAAAAAAGCAATGGTACACAGAAGACGATTTCTCAAAATCTACTCATTAAAATTTTGTCATATTTGGCTGAATTTTTGGTTTTATCGTAGTTTAAATAATTAGAACTTTAGAGTTTCAAATACTAATGATTAATTGTAGTAAGCTGTGTGCAAGTTTATGGGAAAATCTAATGAGCGAATTTTATGTAAACTGAGCAAAAGTGAAATTTTAGGGTTGTATTCAATCGTTCATGTTGCAATGGAAACTGCGAAAATACCCAATTTTACCGGTCAATCAAATCTTTCATCAGTATATTTTTCACTTGCCAAGTTTCAGCTTGTGAGCTGCAACCTTCCTTGTGCCATGATTTGGCAAATGACATATACTCACAAACTGCCAAAACTGGGTTCAGCCACCTTAAAAGTAACAAGGAAAAGTTAATTCTTTTAAAGAAAAGATACTGACAACTGGGCCCAAATGGATGAGAAGGAATAAGCTAAATATTTTAATTAGGAAATCGTCTTCACTATAGTCATTGTACTCGTATGTGAAGATCTCTTTCTTTAATTCCAACAAAACTCCACTCGGTTCTCATATATAATATAGGGACCTTAAGATCTGACGACAGCGACGCCTAAGAGAATGTCGAAAATTCAGTACGTTTAATAAGCAAAACAACAACTTTACACTTATATCACGCTTTTTTGTACATTTCTTTGTCGTCACTTTACGACTACGACGTAAAAATGCCTGATTTTACGTTTTATGGAAGACGACGACGACGAAATTATCTTTCTCTCACTAAACTTGGATATTGTTCTTAGCAATTCATCTCCAGGAGAGTTTGCCTACATTTGACAAAGTAGGTGAGTTGGAATAATTACGATGAAGATTGAAAGAAAGCGACGCATCCGCCCGCCGCCGTTGTCGTCCTGGGATCTTAAGGTCTCTAAGGCTATTTGTATAAAACCTGTTACTATATACTGTAGTGCATAATGCATATATACACGTAACCACTTTTTGGAATTGTTTATTCTTAGGTTTAAAAATTTACAACTAATAGAATTGATATAAGGTTTTTTCATGCTCCTTGATTGTTTTACTCTGTTAGAAATAGCCTTGAAAGGGAACTGAAACGAAATTACTGATGATTTTGTAACCAAGTCACCCAGGCTTACATCAATTATTGACAGTCACTTTGTAGTTTTAATTCTTCTATTTTTTATGTCTTTGTGATCAAAATTATAAAGATACTAACATAGCTAAGACATTCATAATATTATAAAAGTCAGACATCTTTAATACAGGCAGTGATTATTGGAATAAATTATATAGTGCATTATCAACCTGACTTATTTTCAATGCTCAAGGGTAGCAAATTTATGCTCATTTATGTGAGAAAAACCAACTCGATGTACATGCTACATATGCTCATTAATAAAATGGTGCATGTAAGTCCAGTCTGTGACCTAGATAAAACAAGCTACACCAGTCATGTTTGGCTTAAATGTGTCATTAACATCATTACTTATGGAGCTGCAGCTTATTCTTTTTTTTTTTTTTTTGAAACAGTTCCCTTTCCCTGTTTTCGGTTGTTTTTTAAAAAAGGTCAGACTGAGGTGTTGTGTGGATAACTGACCAGTTTCATAGTCCCGCATGTTTCTGATTAGCTTTGGTGAAGGCCGGAAGTCTAATGCGACTCACTAGCTACTGAAAGCTTTTTAGTCTATTGGTGAATCACTGGATAAACAAACAAGAACTGAAATTGTTCCTCTCGCGCGAGGCGAGATTTAAAAAGTTGTCTGACATTGCGTCGGGCGTGGATCATGAAGCCAGCCCAAGATTCCACCCACTGCACGAAAAAATTGGATTTACACCAAATTTACTCAGTGCAAATTTGGTGCAAGAAAAGGTGCAAAATAAGGTTGAATAAAGGGCAAAGAAGGTAAATACCGCATTTGCCCTAAAATTACACCCCCATGTAATTTGGCAAGCAAATGCGGTATTTGCACTTTTTTGCACCATATTTCCACCGAGTAAATTTGTGTAAATCCAATTTTTCGTGTACCGATCTTTGCTATTTTATGCAGGACTCCGCGAATTCCGACAAATTTGTGAGGAAAAAAATTTGTTGCTCCGCAGCCAAAGTTTTCCCCAAACCAGAACAAATGAGCCCGCTGGCAGGCTGTTTGATCGGTAGGTACTATGAGTAGGGTTATTAAAGTGTATCATAATTGTGTAAAAGAATAAGCGCATTGCATTTTCATATATTACCATGTAGTAGTATGTATTGCCATGTATAGCCATGTAATATCATGTGTTGCCACGTATTACCATGTATTGCCATATATGGCCATGTATGTCCACGTTTAATCATGTATTAACATGTATAGCCAAGTATTACTATGTATTGCCATGTATTAGCATGCATTGCCATAGATTAACATGTATTTCCACCATTGCTATGTTTTGCCATGATAGCCATGTACTGCCATGCATTACCATGTATTGCCATGTATACCCATGTATTGCCATATAGAACCATTATATTGCCATGTATACAATCTTGGACAAAACTGTTGAGAAAATTATGTACTTGGACAGCATTTTTCTAAACATCGTAGCTGTACCGGTTCTTCCCTCTCCTCCTTCCCCTGAAAGCATTGTTGTTGTGTATTCAAAAGAAAGCCTGATCCCTGGGCGTTTGTGAGAAGCAACATTGAATTGGGGGAAGGGGTTTCCTTTCCGCAAAGGCGTCGTTTTGGAAATAGTTTTGTTGCGTAGGAAAGTGGACATGATGGGGAAAACTTTCTCAAGTAGTTTTGTCCGGGATTGTAGCCATGTATAACCGTGTAATGTCATGAATTGCCATGTTTCAATTACCAGGTATGGCTATGTATGGCATGTATTAACACGTATTGCCATAGATTAGCATGTATTGCCATATATGGCCATGCATTTGCATGTATTACCATGCATTGTATAGCCCTTTATAATAATGATAATAATATTAATAATAATAATAATAACAAGCTGCGCTGTTTCTAGGAATTCAACAGCGCTTTACAAATATTTACAATTAAAATATTTGAAAACTATCATTCAAACTAATTAATTAAAAACTCCGAAACTATCAAATAAAATAACGCTTAAAAAGAAATGCCTTCAATGCGCACCTTAAATTTGAATAGGAGTCAGTGAATTGCAAGATCTTATATCGTCCGGAAGACTGTTCCTCAGTTCAGGAGCAGTATAAGAAAAGGCCCTTTGCCCGTATGATTTAAGGTTATATTTTTGTGCTACAAGGAGAGATTTACCTGAGGAGCGCAACGTTCTTCAAGGATTGTAAACAGATAACAGTTCCCAAAGATATTCAGATGCCATACCGTGTAGTGATTTGAATGTTAGAAGTAAGATTTTTCTCTCGGCCACCGGCAAACAGTGTAACTGTCTCATTACGAGTTATCTCATCATGTTATGATGCTTGCTAGTCCCCGTGAAGAGACGAAGATTTGCTAACGCAGTATATATTGTCACCATGTAATATTAACGGTCACTCGCTATAACTACCTGTTGAGTGAAGCAATAAAGCGATATTTTGCCTCTAAAGCCTGGAAATACATCTCCAGAATGAAATCATGTGAATCAACATAGCAAACCTGGAATGTGCCCCTTATAAAAAAGTAATAAGGTACTAAATGTCTATGAATGATCAACAAATAGAAAAATAACAGAATCCATGAAAAGGGTCCCTGAGTGCATCGGCAATTACCGAACAATCACGCCCAATCCAGTGTGGTGCGAAATTTTTGCGAGAGTTTATTTTAGCGGATTGGCGATTTTTTGTGTTTTGCGGGAACTAATTTTTGCGACTAGGACAGTGGTTTTTGCTCGCTAGGAATTAATTTTCGGATCTTCAGAAAGTACCCAGTACCCAGCATTATTAATATTTTCGTTTTTGTTAAGTACGTGCAATAGAAATAGTACTAAGGTATGTATACCCTATGTAAAACCAATAATTCAATCTATACCGTTTTGTTCTGAATGAGAGACGCAAGTTGTAATTGAACAGACACGATTTCTTAGCACTGTATTTTATGTGTAGCTGAACTTAAGTTAGAGAATGCATGTTTACTCTGGAGTAAATTTTTGCGGGAAAAATGTTTGCGGTAATTAATAATTTGTGGGAACATTTTTGCGGATTGTTGGAAAAATCGCTAAACCCCGGCTGGGCGCTAAAAGTATTCTCATAAAAAAAGAAGAGGAACATCTCAAAATCTACACACACACGAACAAAAAAACCTCTTCATTCTGCATCCTCAAATCTTGCGTCAATTTTTATTCTGTTCCTATCGTACTTACCTGAGATCAGGCCCAATTTGAGCGGTTCTCATACATTCTCTCTAACGGCTACCGCTGAAATTGGTTTCGCCTTGCCTTCCGGAATGTAATTTTCAAAGCGAAACGAAAATAGAGCCTGATCTCAGGTTACTATTGTAGGTTCTCAGTCCACATTAAATGGACATTACGACAAAAAAACACTGAGTGTTAACTAGTATTTTGTGCACGCTTTTAAATTAGCTTTGTACTGAATCCTTTCAAGACTCAAAACATATATTCTTTTAAACTAGAAAAGAGGAAAAGTCGCACTCATTTTTGCTTTCTTTTGAGGTAAGTTATTGCTTTTATTACTTCAAACAAGCGCGTGCAACAGAATAGAAAATATCGTCACAATTCGCCATAGAAACCAATTGTTTGCCATGGAAACCGATAGTTGCAAAATTAAAAGACTCGCCGTTTTATGTAGTGTGGAAGTTTTTTTCACAACGTATCAAGTTAACTTTTCAAAATATTAACAATATTGGATAAAAATAATATGAGCAGAGAGGATCGACCGAGCAATAGCTCCCATTTAGTGAAAGCGAAAATCAGTAACGACTTAAAAGAAGCTGAGGACTCGAGGAAGGGAAAGAGTCAAGCGCTCAACTGCAAAAAGGTAAGCTGGGTAGCAGACAAAATATATATATACATGTATAGTCAATTCTAAAATGGCCATATAGTACGTTTACTATTTACAGTACTAAGTCTCGATCCATAAGCTTAAGGGTAAAGTGAAGAAGAGAAGATAATTTTAACAGAATTGTTCAGTTGAATATCATATTTTTCAGATCAGTGCCAACAAATGGCGTTATTATTTACTGTTTAAAATTTGATTAAAACAAAAGTTTGGAGCAAAGTTACTTTCAGGATTACAGGGATGGAATCATATTAAAGTTCGTTGAAAATACCGTTTAATCAGCGCTAAGACTTCGTGAACGTAAGTCAAGAAAAGGATTTTTAAAACAACCGGAAAACTTACCAAGTTTCGGCTAGTCTTTTGTCGTCCATTTTTTCAGTCAGGATGTGGAAAGATATGTCCAAAAGATAGCCGCTCTTTTTCTGTTTGCAACATGCAAAAACTTAAAACAAGAACTTTAGCCGCATTTTAAAAAATGGCGGACCAACACATGACACTTGACATTAACACTTGACATGTCAATCAATCATGTCCTCCCCAGGCCCTTGTCTGCAGTTAGCGGACTCATATTAAAAGAAAACTTGTTTACTTATTTATTTTTTCTCCATCTTATTAGGGAATGAACAGGATTAACAAAGGCAGCAAGGACCAAGCTGACCTTTTCCAGATATCGACGTCGAATTTGTCGAATTCTTCCTTCCAAGAACAAGAAGAGATCAAACCGGAAATTATGAACAACATCAACTTGGAAGGTAAGCAAAAAATAGAAGTGGGTCGTGATGGAAAAGACTACATTTACAGGAGTTAGGCCTCAAGCCAGCCTCCTCCTCAGGCGCTTCGTTTTTCGCATGGCAGAGGCGAGCGCGAAACGAGTGACTGGTGATGAACCGCAAGGGACCATGGGAAGGGTACAGACGGCAGGCGAGTCTCCTTCCCGCCTTCCTTTGCGCGCAAATTTTCATCAAAAGAGAGACGTCTGGGTACGAGGCAGGCCTCAGACCTTTCCGGGGGTCTGATCAACTCAACACCGCGGCAAAACGTCCACGCATGCGCCAGGTTGAGCATTTCCGGTCTCTTTTTCAGTCACATTTTCCAGTCAGATCAAAGTCTCCCGCGCGCGCTCGGCCTTATTCTGTGTGCAGCTTGTGGTTCAGTTGTTCTGCTTCATGTTGCTCGTGTTTTTGACTGTTTTGTAGTTATTGAAATTGCTTTTATAGATAACCAGGCACAGATCACTGAAACAATTAATCGTATAGATTCAGAAAAGGTAAGATGATAATAACTCAGTGTGTAATTTTGGCTAGAGCGTCAGGTAAACTGATTTTCATTCACGAAAACAAAGTTTTTGACTGTTATTTTTCAATTAACCTGGCTGAAACTGAGACATAAAAAGTTGTCATTGCAAGCTTGTCTATTGTAGTTCTAATTTTCAGTTCTTCAGTTTCTCAGTCTTCATGTGTTAAAGCCGATTCGAGCTTCATTTGGAAAACGACAACACACAATCGCTTTGAAGTTTTATTTATCAGTGAGTTACCGTGTTTTGAAACGAAACTCTTCTTAGTTGATTGCCATGAAACATAAGCTTAATTATATTGTTGAAGTTGGCAGCAAGTTGACAACTCTATTAATTTTTTTCATTCTCAGAATCAGAGAGCGAAAGCTGGTTTGATGGCTTTTAGAATTCGAACTTTTAATGCTATATGTATTTAGCAGCTGGAAGTTTCGTGTTTGCATGAGATGCAGCCGAGCCGCACAGTCTGAAATTATTGAAGTCTTCAACCAAAGAATAACCATGTAAAAGAATTAAATAGGCATTTTCTTGAATGAAAGTCATTTATAGGCATGTTTAGTTTCGCGGCACTGAAAACTCCGGGTGTTCGTGACTGCAGTCATGAAAGTTGAAGTTGTTATTAAATCCCGCCCATCTCTTGTTTTGAGCTCTTGTTTTCTCCGATAATAAAAAAATTATTAAACGGACTAAAATTTTTATGTCCTGGTTTTAGTGTTAATGATAATGATGACGTCTTTATTTTGGTTTCTTTCATAAGTATTGTTATTCTTTTCTTAGTTGTCGCCTTCTCCCACAACTTATGCCAAACCAGTAGCATGCAAGAAAGCCAGTAAAAACAAATTCGTCCGTGTCGAGCGCTCGCGACCTGCAAACTTCAAACACAATTTTCACCGTTGGTGCAAACAGATAACCATGTGGTGCAAAAGTTTGACGCTAGAAAAATATATAAGCTTTCGAATGAAGTGATTTTTTTCGCCCCCTTTTTCGTCCGTTTCTCCCTTTTTGCTTTTAAACTTGGTGCGACGGCAATGTTGTGCTTACGCAATTGGTTTATATACTAGACCGGAAATAAAAAGCTGACCGGATGTTAAATTTTGTGCTCATGCCCAGTGCGTTTTGCCGCGGTGTTGATCAACTCACCGTAATATAGCGCTGTTTTCTCAGACAGCCTGAATCATAAAATTGCGGGAGGCCTGGAGGCATCTTTAGTAGGCAAGAATCTCATTGATTCGAAGGAAGAAGCCGAAATATCAAGCGGGTTTTAAAAACAGAAATCAAATTTATCTCTCGTCAAGTGGGTCTCTTTTTCGGGAGCGTTTAATATAAATATAGCGCTTTACATAAAATGAAATAAATGAATGAGCAAATATCCCTTTTTAAAGTCTTTCTAAGGCCCTTAGAAAGACTTCAAAAAAGGATATTTATTCATTTATTATTTATTAGCTACATCGCTTCTTACAGCAACTTTTTTAAAACGTAATGATTGGCACCGAAACTGACAGGATTTGAGCTAAATATGTTATTATTTGCAAGGGTGTCAGAAGAATTGATATGGGAACTATACTCGAATACCGGACTTTCTGATTACGGCCCCATTCTGAATCCCTGCCAACGCATACTACAAAATGAAAACAATAATGAGACCAGCACATATCACTGATAAATTACTATCACCTATAAGGGGAACGTTTGTCCCATTTGACTCTCTAGTATGTAAGTTTACGCCTGTACTTAGCTGGGGATTCTTGTATCTAATTTTTGGCATCTGCAGATAATCTTGATCATTACCATATGGAATATGAGCTCGGAGAAGGTGGATTTGGCCGAGTCATTGCCGCAACACGAAAGGCTGATAATGTACCGGTAAGAAATGGATAAAAATAGTAGGATGTGATATGTGAGAAGATCACTGATAAATTAAATAAAAGAAGTGCAAAATAAACCAAATTTCAATAAACCTATACTAGGTAATATACTGTTGTGTACGTTGAATTGCACTTTCTTTTATCTTTTCAGTAATGCAGCAGCAACTATTGTAACATCTATTTGTTCACGTCATTTGAACAACTGTGTATGTAATTCTCTGGCTTTGGCATCCCATTTTAATCTCTAATTTTAGCTATACTATAAAGATAATAGATGGATATAGAATGGATTTTATTTTTCTGGAGGATCCTACGTTAAATTCAAAGCCTATAACAAAGGATATCAATAAAATGATGTGCAGATACTGTGTGGATTTACTATCAAAAAATACTGATATCTGATTCTTTGTTGAATTTTAGGTGGCCATTAAATTTGTCGATAAACGCTCCGTAAAGGACCTTAAAGAGGTTAGTCCAAATCAACAAATTAAAGTCTGACGAACATATCATTTCTCTCATTCGTGTGTTTATAGTATCACTTTTCAGGCCGGATTAAATCATGCCAAGAGAGAATAATGGAACGGGCGGGGAAGGAATCGTAGGGTGTTGGCCGGAATATGTGAATTTTGCTAAAGTTATTTTTAGAAGTTGTAATTAAACGGAGGATCGGCACATTTTAATCGATTGATTGAGCAGTCATCAAGTCCACACGTGACTGCTTCAAAGGAATTCTCTTTTTTGAACAACACTGAAGAAAAGTTTGCGGACCCTTCCAGAATCAAACTTCCGATTAATTTCAAACGCTTAATTTGACTAAAAATAACTCAGTGTGTGAAGTTCACATATCCCAGGGTCGGCTAGACTGGGCGTTTCCCTGTCTGTCCCTTTATTCTCTCTTGATCATGTTTGTCTATTTTATAGCAAGAATAGAAAATTTTAGCATTTACCAAAGCAGTGAATAGTACTTTTCGCGCGTTTTGATTGGCTCCCGTACCACGGAATATCCTGGCTATTCACCAGCTATTCAATGTTTTGCGCGACCAGAGCCAAGATGGAGTCTCGCTTCGAGACATTTTCGGAACACGAGATTTAGGGCCCGGTTCAGACGGCGAACTTTTCATGAGCCGAACCTAGTACATTTAATTAAGTTCGTAAAAAGTTCGGCGTCTGAATCGATTAGGAACGCCTGTTTCAATTTGGAACGGCTCAGCCGTTCTTTTCGCCTGGCCCGCCGGGAATTTCTTCTTTGGAACGACTTTGGAACGGCTTCGATTCAGACGCTGAACTTTTCATGTACCGAACCTAATGCATAAATTATTATAACGTATTTTGTAAGCAGTTTGACCGAAATGAGCATTTTCCACCTTTTGAACAAAGTTTAGCTGCAATTAAGATCGGCGTCTGAATCAATTCAGCCGGTCTAAATAATTTTGGTCGGCCACAATTCCGATAAGGTTCAGCTCTTGAAAAGTTCGGTGTCTGAACCGGGTCTAAGCGATAAATGAAGTAGTCGTACAAACAAATACTAAAAAAGTGACTAGCTTTGGTTTGTCGGTGCTTACTGGTAGGTAGAAAATTATTTTCCTGTTGAATTTGCAACAAAATCGGAAAAATGCTCTTGACAAAATCCCGGAAATGTTTATAAATTGTAAATAAAGTTCCTACTAAGTGACATTTTTAATTTACCAAAAGTTACTTCTTTCATTTGTATCCAGCTGATTTGGTAAATACTAAAACAACTAGGCCCCTCAGGGTCGGTGAACAGCGCTAGGTATATACCTCCACTCTTCGGGTCTGGGTATACATCAACACAACTATTCATCTCTCCTTCGGGGGATAGCTGTATAATATTACTCATGAACTCGTTCAAAATAACCATAGTGGAATAACTGTTTAGAGTCGTCCTATCCTCATTATTCCTTAAAGGTGAATGGTAAGAAAATTCCATCTGAGGTTTATTGGATGATCAAGGTTCAACATCGTCACGTGATTAAAATCTACGATTTTTTCACAACGGGCAACCATTACGCTTACGTCATGGAAAGGCCAGGAAACTGTCAGGATTTGGGCAGCCTCTTATTTGATAAAACAATGACAGAGAAAGAAGCTCGGCGGTATTTCAAACAGATCATTGAAGCCAACATCAAATGCGAAGATCGTGATCTTAAACCAGAAAATATCCTGGTTGATTTAGATTCCGATGAAGTCAAACTGATCGACTTTGGTCTGGCATCTGAGATACAGTATGAACCTTATAGTGTGTTTAGAGGTACGTTATATGTTAGCTAGTCAGTTTGTTTGTTTGTTTGTCTTTTTAGTATGTTTCAGTGAAAAAGAAGTAACGTGCTTTTAATACTATATACTACTATTATAATAGCTCGCGTTGTTCAAACCATTTCTTGACTTTAATGGTTGCTGTTTTAAATGTTACAGGTACCAGGGTTTATATGGCGCCGGAATATTTTAGATTCGGATGGTATGATGGCTGCCAGGCTACTGTCTGGGCTTTGGGGATGATCTTAGTAGACATGCTATCTCCATATATGGCGTTCAGTAAGCCCGAACAGGCCTATAACAGGCCACCCAGGATCCCACATCACCTATCGCCAGGTAATATCAATAAATACATCTTATTTAGCACGCTTGAGGAACAAAATTCTAGGGCCAATAATAACGTAATACGCTGTCCATGACAAATTTCATTTAGAAGTGATAGAACTATACTTCAGGAATAGAAAGGAAAAACAAGGAAATCGAGTTTGTTACTCAAAAAATATCTGGCCCGCAAATAAGACTTGTTATCATTCGCTGCAAATTTTTCTTGCTTTTCATTGGCCGAGAGCCCAAATAGCTGCCTTCAAATAATGGTCTGCTCGTGCGCAATGTCGTCCGTCTTGGTTTGGCTTTGGCTGCAAATAGCATTCTGCTCATGCGCAAATGAAACCACGCTTTTCTCCTTCTTGCGATCGCTGTTGCATGAAAATGGCAGATCGCTTCGCTTCCCGAAGATATTCATTTTAAAAAAACTGTGATCGAATGATAAAACAGTCATTGGACAAGGTTGAGAAAAATATCGTGATTTGTCAGTGGCGAGCAGACCAATTATTTGCCGAAGCCGAACCCCTTAGCCTTGATAAATTGATCCACCCCAAATTCAAACTCGACACAAATAGTCTCAACGTAGTCAACGTTTGTAATCAGTACTGTAATCAGTTTGTAATCATACTGCATATTTAGAAACCTAGACTGAGACGTTCTGCTACATTTGGTATATTTTAACGGCTTTTTTTTACACATCAATCTATTAATTAATTTCATTTCAACAGAGGGCAAGAACTTGATCAGCTCGTTGCTGAATCTTGTACCGATGAATCGACCAACACTGCGACAAATTTTGAACCATCCTTGGTTTACTATGCAAGGTAGGTACACAATGCTTATAATGTATACTGCTTTTGACTTGCATGATTGCAACAACTTTGTCTCCTTTGCCCAATGCGGTGCCTTTATAATTTTTGACTCTCTTTACGGTCTCTACGAGCGTGAAGCCCGCACAAAGCATTGCTCGGAGTTCCTACAAAATTCCTTTCAAGAATAGGCATTCTCGCTTGACTTTTTTATTTTTGATGTCTTTGCAAAGATTTAAACTTTAAACAAGGCTCTTGTATTTTTTAGGTTCACCGGAAAACGTTTCTTCAAACTTCTTTGCGTAAGTTTACATGTTAAACACATATCGTGTCCTTATTTGGTGACTGGATCCCAAGAAAAACTCTTTTGTCTTAACAAAGAATTCTCTAGCTACTGCGAGCAGCAAAAGCAGACTGGGATGACTGGTTATCGGCCATGAATCCTCTTTTATTCTTACAAGCCCAATCCATCAGTTGAACCTATTTATGTTGTTTCTAATTTCGTTACTAAGGAGCAGTTGTCGTGAATGCATATCGCTTTCCACTAATTACAAATATGATTTGTTTTCTGATTTTTAGCAAGGACAAATGCTGTGATGAAGCAAGTGAACTTTCTTCGGTGACTTTGTGCGGTCTGCAGAGTTATTCTCTGACAAAACAGGATGAAACCGACCGAGTTGAATTGATTGCCAAACATTGCTTGCACAGTAAGTGCTTTTCATTTCCGTGTTACGTTCTAATTTCAGAATGATGAAATTCTAGACGAAACATAAAAAAGGCTGGGCTGCTCCCATGAACGCTCACTTAAACTAAGTTTGAAAGCCCTCTGCCTGCACAAGCGACGTCTCCTTCAAAAAAACTTCAACTTGAACAGAAAGCTTTTTTTCATTTCATTTCTGTTGATAATCATTTGTGAGCGCGCAACTCTAATAAGAATCCCCAGTGTTAATTTGATAATCCATAATAACTTACAGTCGTTGAAGTCGAGTGTACTAAAACTTTTAGTCGATATTTACCGATGTTCAGAACGTTGACGTTGATGACATCACCCATCTTCAAGCTGTCATGATCAGAGAACGTAACTATCAGAGAGAAATTTCCCAACAACAATGATCTTATCAGTTCATCTGCTGCCGTTTTCAAACAATCCCTCAAACAAATAAAGGTAACACAGCTTGTAGTTTTCCCGCCCAAACCTTTCTTTGTTGTTATTCAGGTTCATCTGTGTCAGGTTCTAGTTCGACCGACAGCACCACATCCTTTAGCACCAATTCTTCAAGGTCAGTGCAAAGGGAGATAATCGCTTCTCCGTAATTAATAAATCGAGCACCAATTTAAAATAATTTTTGAAAACAAGAAAACGTGTGTTTTTGTGTTTTTAACAGGCAAATGGACTGACTATCTGAACTGAAGCTTTAAACATGATCATATTGATGTCTTTCTATGTCATAGCCTCAGTCCTAATCTGAATCTAAGAAAAATGCCGGCTCGGAGTCTGATTTCATTGTTCTTTTGTTTCATTTCCTGCTGTTTCCCAATAAACCAATAAAAGAAAATGAAAACGAAACGAAAGAACAAAACACCCGTGTTCCCACCCCCACGTCAGCGTTTCTCTTGATACCCGACCACTATCTTAGCCGAACGCTGAGCTATTGCCCCTTTTTAAGAGAGGCGGAATCTGGCAGAATGAAAAGGCTGTTTCATCGATTAGACTTCCGTCCACCAAATATAGAAATCAGTTTTAATAAGTAAATCAATGAATAACTACATTTAAATTAACCATTGAATAAATTAATAAGAAAGGATTTAAAGCAAAATAAAAAAGCGAAAGAAAATGTACTTTTTACGAGAAAGGTATGTCTTTGTTGTTTTCAGAGATTCTATTGAAAGCCACTCTTTTAAGTCGTCAAATTCATTGGCGGTTATTACATCCTTTGAAGTAGAGTCTCAATCGTTTGTGGGTATACAAAACACAAGCAAGTTAACTGTCATGAAAGAGGATATTCAAGGAACTGATTGCAACATTTTTCAACCCTTGACTGTGTTGTGTATGATGTGGTATTGTGGCTATCACGCCACTGTTTTGGCTTTGGTAATGATCGTATTGGACATGACTTCTCCATATATGGCATTTAGTAAGACCAAGCTGGTCAATGAACGGTCCACAAGAGTCTCCCCGCGACTTCTTTCACCAGGTAATAGATACTTTAGATACTGCATTATCTCCGCAACAGTCAGCCCATAAATAAGAAATTTATTGCACCCGAAAAGGAAATTCGCCCCGTTTCGTGCTTGGCTTAGTCGGGTGGTATGGAATACTTACGACAGGAATATGGTATGAAAAAATAGACAAGTCGACTTAGAGCGCAATCTCTGCAAAAACCTGAACTTCTATCGATCTGGAACATCTCAAAGTCATAGTACATCAATCTCGTTTCCAAATTTCAGCTGGTGTCTTCCTGCAGGATAAAGTTCAGCATCATCACGCAGTGGAACGGGCACTGAACTGCGGCCAGGATTCAGGTACTGATATGACTGATAAAAATGTTATTTACAATCACAATATCGTAATTCTACCTCATTCTGACGTTGATTAGTTTCATAGGCTGCACTATAGTTAATTAAAGTGGAATAGTTGGGAAACCCGTTAGGCTCTTTTATTATATGTTTTTGTTAGCTTTTTTTGGACCTGACCGTGCACAACGTTCAATAGCATTCCTATCATTTTGAACTTACTGACCAATAGAAACATTTCATTAATTTATTCAGTCACAATTTGTGAACAAAAAACAAAGGATTATTCACGGTCAGGGAGCTTCCGACATAAACTACAGCACCGTTGTTTTCCTTTTTTTTGTTTGCCGGCTTTCCTAACCAGTCTCCTCTACTAACTATGGCTGCGCAGTGTCGTCTATTAACAGATTTGAAATGAGCTTTGTTACTAATGGTTATAATAGGTATATTTTGTATATCAACAAAAATAAGGAATATTTTTGTCGTTTTTGCGGAGAGCATGAAAGAAACACAAAAAGGAGAGGGTCCCAGCGATCCGCCAAATTGTTTCCAATGATTTCAAAAGGCTTTGCGGTGCGTTGCAATGTCAAATAACATGTTATGATTTCATGTTTTTGTTGAGATTTAAATTCATTGTGAAAAGTCTCTTCTTTTCTTGTAGGTCCCGTAGAATACTCTTCCTCCAATTTGTCTGAGTAAGTTTTATGCTGAACACATTCATCATGAACTTAGTGACTGTATCCGAAAAACGTTCGCAGACCACGACTGAACAAGTGCCTCGGTCTAACAGGAAAGATCAAACTTAAGTCCTCAACCAGCCATTGTAAAGGAGAATACATGCACTGACACTGAGAGTACAATAGTCATTCTTCGTGCGCTCTTTTAAGCCTGCAGAATCATTCGAGCCATTTTATTAGATTTAGTCAAGACGGCTATCTTTTTTTTTAATGTAGCCTTTAGATACATTCTGCTTGCCACTACTACAATACGATTTGTTTTCTGATCTTTAGCAAGGACAACTGTTTGAGCTCACCGGCTCTTACTAAAGAGGAGGAAACTGACCTAACAGAATTGATCGCTGAAGATTATTTGTATGGTAAGTGTTTTTTATTTTCGTTTCGTTCTAAACCGCATTCGAAAAGCGTGGAAAACAGCTTCTCATCAACTTTCTAAGAGTCCTCAGCTTGCTTAGCTCCTAAACATTCTAAACAACATGTCTTCCTGCAAGGGAAGCAAACTCTCCTAGTTGGGTGTCGGTTGCCTCACCCAACAAAAAAGCCTCGCCCAAAACAACACCGTATAACAAAGGTAAAACTCTCCTGAGCTCATGGGATGCCGTCCATAAACATCATTAACCCAATGTCGAGTCAAGAAGTTTTTCGAACTGAGCATCGGTAATAATGAGTTGACATTTTGTAGTTCAATGGAAAAAGTGAAATGAGTATTCGTTACAATAGAATGAGAAAATCAAGTTTTTCTTAAGTGGCGTATTTATCCAATAATTTTAGGCATTCCATGTACCAGAGTTTATATGACTGCGCCGACAAACTTTAGCCGGCATGATGGCTGCCAGGCCATTTTCTGGGCTTTGGAGATGATTCTAGTGGAAAAGCTTTCTCCTTATAAGGCGTTTATTGAGCCAGAGAAGGTCCATAAACGGTCAAACAGAATCCCGGAATATCTTTCTCCAGGTAATTTCATAATCTATTTTTAATTATTTACCGATCGCAAAAAACCTTTGAGCGATGTCATGCTATGACACTGTCTAGTGTCCACAGCCACTTTGGTCCTTAAAAAGACAAAAGAAGACCAAAATTAATTAAGTTTAACTTTGGTGTCAGCGTCTTTAGGGAATCTTGAAAGACAAGCTGTTCTAATTAAAAATCCTTTTTTGATTGAATGGTTTTAGGTGTTTTAACAGACGCGGAAAAGCTTAAACTTGGATGGTATGATGGCTGCCAGGCAACGGTCTGGGCTTTGGGGATGATCGTGGAAATTCACTCTCCATATATGGTTTTCAGTGAGCTTGAGCAGGCCCGTAAACTGCCTACCAGAATCCAGAAACTTCTTACTCCAGGTAATTTTATAAATCTATTTTATTTACCAAACGTTAGGACTAAACACTTATGGGCGATGTCATTCAAAGACCATAAAGTCCACTGTCCACAGCAACTTTTGTCTTAATATCATTATTTTTGGTTATTCAGGGTCATCTACGTGTTTCGATTTGGATCTGAAGATATCACTTTCCAGCGTAACCTTTTCCAGGTAAGTAAAGATGTCAGTAGTATGATAATAACAGCATGCATATTTGATTTACGAAAAAATCACGGGGTGTCTGTCTTTTTTATCCTTATCCCACCAAAGCCATTTACATTTTTTCCACGCCAAAATTTTCCAAAGCTCTCAGAGCAGATAGACCCTCCTCAGTAAAGGTATTATAATGAATTGCGCGTTACAAAGCACCTTTAGGCTTGCTCTAGGTCAATAGGGCCGCCAAACGAGACTTTTTTTTCTATACAAGCTACTAACTGTAACTGTTATCTTCAGCACAAAAAAGTCATTGAGAACCTTTTGAGAGACATACCCTCTTGTTATTTTCAACAGGAACAAAATAAAGGACTCTGAAAAGCTGTCTGCTCCAGTCAGTGAAACTGTGTTAGAGTATGAGAAAAGTTTTCAAGTTGAACACCAGAGGAGATTTATTGAAGTTATTTTTGTCAGTCCTTTGACAAGTATTTTAATAAAGGTTTTATCCTCGACTTTTATTTGTCTGCTTTACTGTCGCATGCACATAAACAAAACACACCAAAACTGTTCGTACTCTGCATTGACAGCACGCGAGCAACCGAAAGTATGGAGCATCATTTGCCATTTTAATCTGCTGTCACCCTCTCTCGTGCGAATTTGAATAGAATAGTCCAGGAGCAATGGTATTCCCGTGGGATTTTTTGTGATGATTTCAAGCGACCAGTGCTTCGCAGTTAGTTTAACTTTGTCACTAGTTCGCAGTCAATTCATTTCGGCCATCGCTTTTGCGTGTACTTTACCTCAGTTATTATTTCGCAGTCGCATTCCCGTTACGACTTAGGTTTTACGAAAGGTGTTTCCTCTATGGTCCGCTATAGTGATTTCAGTCAGTTTACAACCAAAACGTCTGTGGTTTATTTCGTACGAAAAAGTATTTCCTCTATAGTGTTTTGGGTCAGTGATTGAACTTTAACGTTACCTCTAGAGTGTCATACACTCTCCTACGGTATTTTTTCCCAGTTACTAAAAATAAGA